ACCAGGAGTTTAAGACCACACTAGTTTCTCTTGCCCGTCTTGACCCCAGTCTCTCTCTTATTTCTATAGTCCAGGAAGGAACAATATCTAGCAGGCTTCAGTCACACATTCAGTCATGCTTCATTTCTTTTGCTTCTCCCACCTCTCCTATTGTGGTGAGACTGTGGGAGTTTTTTCTCTGTGTTAATTCTCTCCGGAAAGTCACTTTTGGTAGGAGCGTCCACGCTGTGCCACAATGAGTCCTACTTCCAACCAAATGGGTTTGAACAATCCTCCTTGTTTATTATTTCAACCTTCTCTCTAAGGTAGGTATTCCTCTTCCTCCAGTAAATCCTGTTCCTAATGAAAGAAATCCACCTGGACTGTTACCCCATCTAAAACGCCAAATTACTCAGACACTGTTAACGTGCTCAATATACCTACAACTTAATGAGGTTATTATACCACCAAGAGAGCAATTATTAATGAAACATCTCTTTCTTACATGATACCTAATGGCCAAGGCTCTGTTTAAGAACTATGGCCTTCCAGTAAATATAATGCCAGTTAGAGTTGTGGAGAAGGCTGGGACAAACAAGTCTCAAATTAAAGAGGAAGGTGCCACTAACAATCATGTAACATAGATAAATAATTGGGTGTCTTTCCTAATTACTGTAAGGATCTCTCTCAGAATATCTGACTCATCTTTTATTCAGGAAATAGATACCACCTACATTTTATATACAAGGCAAAAACTGTAAAGAAATAGAAAAACGCCTCTATCCTCAAAGAGTTTACAGTCTTTTATCGGATATTACCTGGGCAAATAACTAAAAAGTGTTAAAAATTTTTTTTTAAAAAAAGCATTAGGGGTACATGTTGTCTGAAGTATACATGAGCAGACAAAAGATTTAAAATGGAAGGTGCATGAGCTCAGGAAAGATGCAGCATTTAGGCTGAACCCTGAAGGAGATACAGAATTTCAGTTGGTAGAGGCTTGGTTAAGGGTGAGGTGTGCGGTGGGCAGATACTGGGTTTGTCATGGTGCCTTCCCTGAGTGATAAGCAAAGATGAGAAATCAGGGGAGGCAGAAAACAGGAAATGTTTTTGGCAAAACACACGAATTCCAACCAATTGCAACATGGCTAGTAAAGTCCTAAAATATGTGCAGAATGGAACAAAGGAAAACCTACATAAGGTGAGTAAAAGTTTATAAGTCAGGGCTACAGAAAAGGATCTGATTCAAAAGTTAAAGATGTTAAAAACTGGATTAGACCTTTGCATAGCCATATAAAGAGTGAATCACTGACAGCACTGGCTACTCACTACATGCATGTAAAATACACAAAAAGTGAAAAAGTATAAATTTTAATCAGTGCTGGAATACATGGGTGTTAATCCCTCCCATTTACTAAGCACCTACTAGGTGACAGGAGCTACCCTTTGTATGCATTGTTATATGTAATCCGGACAACGATTCAGCCAGGTAGGCTTTAGGAACCCCATTATATATAAGAAAACTGGGGCTCAGAGAAATTGAATAATGAGAATAAATTGGCACTCCTACTGTTCGGTAGATCCAGAATTTTATACCAGCTGTCCTATTTGGTAGTTACAAAATATAATAGTTACGGGGCTATGACCCCATGACGATCTAGAATGATTTATATTTTAAGATAAATTAAGTGGGTTCAAGGATACCTCCACAGTTACTTCACCCTCATTGGTTGCAATATGCTTTCATGAGTGATCCAGGGCAGGAGACACAGCTCTATTGCAGGGTAGCAAGTCTTTGGGAGTGTGACGTAGCCCATGAGGCCATCATCTTCATGTGGATGCGAATAGCTGATGAGCAGAAGTGAAATGTCCATTAAGTTAAGCTTTTAATCAGCTGTTTAATGGAGATCAGTGGCAAGAATAGGGGTTTGGGAAACAGATGGCCCTGATTTCAAATTTGAACTCTGCTATATACAAGTTACATGAAAAATGCTGGACAGGTGACTTCACTTCCTTGACCTCAGTTTTTCCATACAGTCATAATGTAAATTAACAATAAATTTATGTAGAAAAAAAAGAGGGCGCTTTGGATAATGGAGAAGTACATCATTAAGGCTAAAAAGGCTTGGCCTCATTCAGGCATTAATTTACCTGAACGGTCTTGAGCAAGGCACTAACTCTGAGCCTCTTTCTTGCTTTATTTATTTTATTTATTTATTAAAGATTTTATTGGGGAATTGGGGGAGGGGAACAGACAAGTTGCTGTCCTTTTGTTCTTCAGTCTAGTTGTGGAGGACATTGCTTCACTGGCTTAAGCTGCCACCATCATTGCGCTCTTCCCTGGCGAGGCAGATCAGTCGCCAGCCTCTGGACGGCCGCTCACAGCGGCTGCTGGCCGCTCACGCTGGCTGCTGGCTACACACGGTAGCCCATGGCAACCCACTGCCACAGGGGCTGCAGCCTACGCCTTCGCCAGTGACTCATGGCAGCCCAGCTCCAGGTCGAGCTGTTGTTCAGCATCTTAGCTGTAGAGGGCAGTGTCACTGGCCCTCATATGTGGGATCCGAACCAGGGACCTCTGGCATCCCAAGCCAGTTCCTAATCAATGCGCCACTAGGCCGGCCTAGCCTCTTTCTTGTTTTAAAAAAAATTTTTTTTTTCAGTTACAGTTGACGTTCAGTGTTATTTTATATTAGCTCAGGTGTATAGCATAATGGTTAAATATTTATATAATTTATGTGCTGATCCCCCTGATTAGCCTAGTACCCACCTGGCACTATACATAGTTGTTGCAACATTATTGATTATATTCTCTATGCTGTACTTTACATCCCAGTAATTATTTTGTAACTACCAATTTGTATTTCTTAATCCCTTCGCCTTTTTCACCCACTGAGTCTCTTTCTTGGTGAAATGTGGATGGCATCATCTACCTTTAGGGTAAGATTCTGAGATAATGTGTGTCAGGTACCCAGAGCTGCTAGACTATATTGTAGTAATGTACCATATTTAAATCATTAACACAATATTTGGCAAAATATGTATAAGTTTCCATCCCATTTCTTTTTGTACTTGGGCTTTATTATAATGTTGTTGGTGACTATCACTTAAAAATACTATAGACTACTAAAAAATCATAACAATTTGGTAAAAGTTGGGTACATTAGAAGTTAAAAATATTGCTAACTTTCTAATCTTCTTGAATTATAAACTTCATATAAGTGTAAAATTATTCATTCTTTTCTCTTACAGTCCCTATACATTTTTTTCGCTAAATGTACCGGTATTCATTTCTAAAAACACATTTCATTAAGTAAAGTGCTCAGTCAATCTGAGAAATAAGACATTAGTACCATTAACAAAGGTTTTGGTCATTCTATTCATAAGGAAATTGTTAAACATCCTATCTACTAGGACTGTTGGGTTGATGGGCCCTATTTGTAGTCAATATCTATTATGTGAACCATGAAAAATATCTATCCTTGCAAAGCTGCTTCCCATCTCCCCCTGAAAGCAAACAGACAACCTAACCTAGAAAATAAGTTTCAGTTAATCACTCCAAAGCAAAGCAAGTCAGGGTTACACCCTTGGTCTTCTCTAGTTAAACAAGGCACAAGAAATGCAAACGTCATAGTTGTATACATCTAATCTGTTACCTATGCATACACATCCAACACAAGGTTTGTGAATCTGAGCAAATTTGTGAAGTTCTGCTTTCATTTTGGGTTTACACAAATCATTAAAAAATAAAGAAAGAGAATGTATACACCTATAAAGCTGATTGGCCCTGGCGATTTCGTACTGTTGTGCCTACTTCCTCCTTTCTCATCTAGATGGTATTTCTAATGACTTATCCATGAAGAAGCCTCAAGTGTGCCTTAGGTAACTACTACATACCTGTCGGGAAATGTTACCGTTGCTTAAGGCTACATTTCTTACATTATTGAGGGCTGGTACGACGTGTGTGATTAAAATAGGGCTGCCATTTCCTGTACCTATTCCTCCCCCATAAGGCTGCGTTAAATGGGGTCATTCAAGCCTCCCTCTGCCCAACGCCAGCACTCCCACAAAGATTGATTGATTCTTATTTTTTTATTTTAAGGGGTATGGGGACATGGAAGTGTTTCCTAACTGGTTTGCTGGCAGTTTAAAATGCTTGAAACGAATTTGAAACCAAGTGAAGTTTGGCCCCAGGACTCTGAAATATCCGTCCTGGGATGGAGGCTAGGTGTCTGTGTTTTGAGGGAACTGGAATCGGATGGACACTGGACGGCATGGGGTGGGGGAGGGAAGAATTGGCTGAGGGAGAAAAGAAAGGAATTAGCGTCTACCGAGCACATCCTAAGGCTCCTGAGTTGCTCACTCCATCCCTAACCGCCTCCTTGCTGGGAACCAGCTACAAAGGGAAAGACTGGCGAGCCTGGGTCTGGGTCCAAGGCAGCGGTCCTGGCCTCAACCGCCGGCCTAGACACCTGGCTTGCGGGGCCCGACCAATCCGGCTCAGCCCTCTCTTCCCTCGGGTCCTTCAAGAAAGCGGCATCGTGCTCTCGGTCCCTTCGGAGACCTTCAAATTCGTCTCTCCCCAAAGTGCTAACTTCAGGGGCCCCGGGGTAGCAAGGGGGAGCGCACACCAGAAGGGACAGGCCCAGAGGTCTCAGGGATTTTTAAGGTACTAAAGAACGACGACCGCCCCCGGCGGTGGCCCCGTTTTCTCCTTGTACCCCACCCTCCCACAAGTCCGCAGAACCTGCCGCGGCCGCGCTGCGCTTGGCGCCAGTCTGGGGACCCGCGCCCGGACGCTCGGGTGGGTGGGGTAGGGGTTGGCGGGTCCCTGAGCCCTAGCGGCGGAAGGCTCCAGGGACCACACACTAGGCAGGCGACCACACTCAGCCTGCCGGAGAGCCGGGAGAAGGCAGGGACGCGAGCGAGGCAGGGCGAGTCCTGGCTCCGGCGCACCTAGCGGACTGAGCCCGCCATCCTCTGTGGGCCACCCCTCTCCATCCCTCCGCGGTCCCCGCCCTTACCTCCGGACGCGAGGGTGCTGGCTGCGGAGGGTGCCGGGGAGCTGCGAGCTGTCTCCCGGACGGGATCAGAGGCGGCCAGCGACAGCAGGGTCACCCGCGGGGCCGCTGCTCATGGCTTGTCGCGCCAGCACTGCGGCCGCGGCCACGGCGGCGCCTTCCTCCTAGTCCTCTTCGCGGGCTCCGAGCCGGGACGCAGCTAACGCCTCGGCCCCGCAGCCCTCCTCCTCTCCGCCTCCCCGGCGCGGACGGAGCCGCCTCCAGCGCCGCCCCGCGCGCAGCCGGGCCAGCGGCAGCCAGCGCCGCCCAGCGCCCGGCCCCGGGGTCGCCGCCGCCACCGCCAGCCCACCCCGCGGTCCCAGTCCCGCTGTGACGCAGGCCGCGGTGCCCGGGAACTTCCTCCCCTTCAGAGACCACCCGGCGCCGGGACCAGCCGGCGAGGGCTGCCGCCCGCCGCTGGGGACTTTCTTCAGGACGTGGAAAAAAAAACCCTCCCACTGCTTCCAGGCCGGGCCACGCCGGCCTCTGATCTGCCCACCTGGCGGCTCTGCTGGGGGGGAATCGACTGAGTCTCGTACCTTCCCTCCCATCCCTAACGATGCGCGGAAAACCCGAGGCGTCTCTGCGCGCAGCGTCTGATCCGCTACCGCAGCCCTCTCCGGGGTAAGTTAGATGGGGAAGTCACCACTAAAAATAGCCCTTTTGGGAACTCCCGGGGAGGACCGGGGTTACTGTAGAGATAATCCCGCCTCCTTATCTCCCTCCCCCCTGTAAGAACAGAAGAGTGGGAAGGGTGGTGGGACCCATTGAGGTAGACGCAGAAGGAAGACGGCAAAAGCTTATTTCCCTGGACCATGAAACCCATCGGCCCTCTGACAATTGAGTCTCCTCCCTGGCAGGAGCTCCCAGTGTTCCTGGACCCTGGCAGCCGGGCTCCCTGATCTTTCAGCAGCAGGTTCCCGGGATGCTGAAATTGAATGCGCCGCCTACAATTTCATGCTGTGCAAAAAGGAGTTGACGGTGCACATCAAAACTATCTGTTGTTTAACAGTATAGGGGAGGTGTGCGCCCTTATTTATTGATCTGAAGCATGCTTTTCTTCTCCCCACCCCCCCTATCCAATTTCAGGCTGAGAAAGCAAACTGCCTTCTTGAAAGCTGACAGCTATCTATATGGAAAATCTTCTGCCCTGTGGGGAAAAAAAAACACGTACTGACAAGGTTACTAAGTAACATAAAGTCTTCTGGGATGCCTTATCAATACCATCTATTCTATGAGCACCAAAAATTAAACTATTGCTCCGCCCTGGTAGTCAGGAAAAGACAGATGTTCATGAGTAGAGCAATTAATAAACAACTAATCATCTTTCACTAGTTGGTTTGTTTTTATACAACAAGCCTTAAAAAAAGCAGGCACCTCCTTTTACCCCATTTCTATTTTCAAACTAAAATGAAAATTCGTTCAAAAGTTCTGTTTGGGCTTTTAACTGCTTTCCCCCTACTTGTCTGGCAAATTCCTACACTTTTCCAATTCAAGTTTTTTTGTTGGGTTTCCTTCCCAGAAGACAACCTTGAACCTTCTTAGGCCTTAGGGAATGATTGTAACACCAGCCTTAACCTAGATCAAGACAATAATCTAGGGTGGGAGTGGGGACTTCCTCCTAGATAGCAGGTGGAAAAATTCCTAGAGTGTTCCTAGGGAAAAGGCAGAAGCTGACTTTAGGAATTTGCTAAAAGACTTCGAGTACCTTGCAAGCCACCAGGTATTATTTGAGGTAGCGTCAACTCTTAAATATATTTAAACCCTCAATGAGGCAAATACTAAGGGCACACACCTCCTGTAGAGGGCCTTATTCTGCAAGTCCTTTCTGAGTTCACCTCTGTCCTTGTACCACTGATACCCTGACCTCAAGCTTAGGCATCCCTGAAATGCTCCCTCATTACCCAGTGTCAAGGAACCACTCAACCCTAGACTTTGGACTCAGGTGAACCAGAAATAAATCCCTGCTCTTTCTGTGTAAATATAAGGAAGTAACTGCTCCTTCCCCCCCACCCCCCATCATCAGTGATATGACTATAGTATTATAGGGTACTATGAGAATTAGATAACATGCTTAAAGCAGCAAGAACAGTGCCAAGCACTTTATAAGTAGTCAGTAAAGGTAGCTGTCATGTACTCTTACTAGTCCTCATTGTCCTGAAATCAAAAGGACTTGGAGCAGCAACAACGTTTGGAAACGGGATATGAGCCCTACAAGTTGACTCTCCTACTCTCTTCCCTCCACTTGCTTAATTGCAGTGCTTTTGTCTACTTTCTAATAGGGTGAACCGGACAGTTCTACATGTAGTCAATTGGCTCATATGCATACTAAAGTCTGAGAGGTGTTAGTCTGAAAGCCACTATGTTATACTGCTTAGGTTGCCTGTTTAATTTTAATTTTTTAATTTTATAGCATGTAAACCTTAAGTCTAGTCATCTTACCTCAGTCAACCTAACTCAAATCAACTTCCACAGTTATCAGGCCCTCAGTAAAACACCGCAACAATCACCAATCAGCCTACTTCTGTGAATGCTGGACCTTGAGTGTCTCAAAGAAGTATAAGGCTTATTCCCTGACTTCAGGGTATTCACAAAGCGTAGGAGAGGGGATCGGGCATGCATATGGATCACAAGAAACCATTTCGAACTAAATGTGGTTGAAGTTCAGAGAAAGGAGAAGGCACTGTGGGCTAGGTGAACGGTGTACACAGAGCCACTACCTTGAACTTTCATTTAATACCCAATTCTTCAGGCCAAAGTTTGACATTCTGTTGTAGATAGGCTTCCAGAGTGAGTTCCTACAATTAGACTCCCCATAGTTACCAGTTAACCATGTACTAGCTGGCAACAGGGAGCAGAACCAGCTTATAATCAGCAATGCAGGGCCATGATAAGTTATTTGGAATGATACAGTTCTGGGCTCAAATCCTGGGTCCAGTACTCACTATGTGACTGAACTGAATTGTTGAACGCCAGTTTCCCCACCTGTCTATTAGAACATCAGTACCTCCTTTTTAAGGTTCTAGTGAGATTTAGGAAAAAATATCTGCAATGCTTCTAGTGGGTTGTATGCAAATGGTATTTATATTACATTGTATTGTTGTTAGCTACGTGAAAATGTGAGCTGGGTTATATCATTCCTTGAAGGCATATTTCAAAAGTTGCCTTCTCAGTGGAGCTTCTGCAAGCTCCAGGCAATTCTCCCCTCTGTGCTCCCACAGCACTTAGTGTTGAACCTCTATTTATACTTACCTTGATGTGCTGCCATTTACCTCTTTACATTTTTGCTTTACTGCTGTGTCTTTATTCATCTCTATGCTGACACCTAGTCTAGAGCCTGGTATTAAATATTGAAAAATGAATTTTAAAGTGTTTCTATTTCTAGTACTTGTTCTGACTTTCAGTGTAACTTGTATTAAATGGAAGGCTCTAAAACCTGAACCCTTTAGCTCAAAGAGTTTATACTAAAATTGAATATTATGTACATGTATCTGCTAAAACCTTACATTTTCCAATGCTGGGCTTGTTCTTGAAACAAACTGCTATTCTTGTTTTGTTTTGTTTTGTATCTGATGTTGGTTGATCCTGCCTAGTAATAGTGAAAGTAAAATCTAAATTCTAAACCAAAACCAGCATTTTCTGTTCACCCCGTGCACATCTGCTCCCCAGACCATTTCTGAGCTTTGTGGAAAGGATGCTGAGCTAACAAAAAACTGCTGTTTTTAAGTTTCTGTTGTTCACACTGTCTCAACCATTAGCACTTTCTGAAGTAAGAGCTGCAAGATAAAACACACCTTTAGCAGCAGTTTTGAAATCCTTGACTCTGTGCCATTAAAAATGCTAGGACAGGGAGAGTTAAACCTCTCCTAGAAAACGTCCTGTGAGACAGTTGCCCAAGAGATGATATGGTCAAATGTGGTTGTAACCCTAAAATGGCAGTTGAATTTGTGCCAGAGGAGAGGGTGGTGGTGCTGAGAACCTAAAAATAGGATACTATAAAGCTTTAGATGAAATTCTTCCGAAATCAGTTCTTTATATATTAAACTCCTCAACACACACACACACACACACACACCCACACACACACACCCACACCCACACCCACACACACGATAGAAGTGGTTGGTCCCATTAACTTGTGAGACATTCTTTGGAAATAATAATGAATAAACACTTATTAGGTACATCCTATGTGCTAAGTAAGTACTAACTTTATATATGTTGTCTCATTTAATCACCGTAGCTATCCACTAGGTAGGCCGTGTTATTTTCTCCTAGTGACAGAGGAGGAAAGCGAGGCGTATTATAATCAAGTAACTAGCCAAAGGTCAGGTGACCGATGAGTGGAAGAGTTAGGATTTGGACCCAGGCAAGTCTAATTTTAGAGTTCTCACGCTTAACCTCCACTTAATCACACAGAAAAGGTATGTTTGTTTTTAAATTGAATCCATCAAGTATATTCAGCAAGGTTCATGATGTACTTTTTCAGTAGTTTTGAAATTGCATTGACTTGGGCATTCCCCAACAATACTCACATCCTAAACATGCCTTCATGAGCTGATTTTACAGCTTACTCTTTAATTGAAAAGCATTCTAGGACTGAAAGCAAACTTATTAATGAAAGATCATAAAGTGTTGGTGGCTCTGAGTTTAGGCAATATGAACTATAATAGGTACACAGCCTCATTCTTAGAATTATTGTTTATATGGACCAGTGATAAATAAGTAACTTTCACGTGGTAGACATGCAGTATAAGTTGAAAGTAGTCTGACATTTCCAGCACTGACTTTTTTTTGTACCCAATATCAGTACTATAACTGCATAACTAAATAAAATTTGCTTGCTACTATTAAGCACTTACAGCCACTGATCTAAAAACTTTAATGTATTAACTCATTAATTAAATCTACAAATGACTAGCTTTAGCCCTGAACTGAATTATTCTAAAGATAATGAAATACCCCTAAGGGCTTTAGAACTTGCTTATTTATTTAAAAAAAATTAAAATATATCTTCTAAGAAAAGTAGCTCATTTTTCACAGGACTCAAATTTTCAGCCAGTTCTTGACACCAAATCATATTATGCATATAGAGTGTACCACAGAACATCTCAGATTCAGTTAAACATTGGCTTGCTTCAAATTTCAGTGACATCAGCCCTGACAAAGCACATAATTTCAAGCCTAAGGAATTGCTTTTTTTTCTTTGCCT